GGTTTCTGGAGCTCTGTGATGAAGCTTATATAAACCAGAACAACTCTGAGTTATTCAGGTCTTTGCCTTTAGGGAAGAAAAAATGAAAACAAATGTTGACTGTAAATGTGATTGCTGCCACCGCTGTATAAACTTTCCCAACTGTGTCTCGGACCAAGTGAGCGCAGAGCATATATAAAGCATAGAACTTTTCCCAAACTGGAACACGACCTCATGGCCACAGATTTGCAGAAATGTCAGTGAAGAATAGGAGAGTTATAAAAATGTTTCTGTCAAACATCTGTCATGTCGTGGCTTGAGATTCCTTATTTATTGTCGCCATAATCTGAATTTATTTGGCTAGAGGACACTGAGGGCTTTGAACTTCCCCTGCATCAGCCTTGGAATTCCTTGACGCTGATGTTGTCAGAAAAGAGAAAATGCTTGAAGGATTCCCAGCAAATGACTTAGAGCCTGAATGGAGGAGGTGAAACTGTGTTTGCCATTGGACAGCTGCCCGTTCCATTAGACTTTCTGTTGGCATTTAAACTTGCATGTGATTTGTAGATTTATGCTTTTATAGGCGTTAAAGATAGATGCTCTAGGATGGCTTGGTGAGGGCTGGACTCATTGATTTTGGTTATTTACCTCCAGTTCAACAACTGGTACCACTACCGGATCAAGACAGCTGAATGCAGTGCAGGTCTTAGTTACGTTTAGTTTGTGATGATCATTTTTTCTCTTTCATGGTGTCTTTTGTCACATTTTCTTTCATGTTAAATCCATTGGCTTAACCATCTTTACAACCGTTATGTGTTTCTTTTTCCTTATATACTGTACGTAGCCGTAAGATGTAGTTTAATATCCTCAGTTCACATGTATTCATAATAGTCAAGACGAGTGTTGCTGATATTTTCTGTATTGAACCCTTTTGACCTCCGAAATCTGCATATCCGTCTCAGAACAACAGAGTGCCTGTGAAAGTATGAATAATGGCAGGCTGCAGCCCTAACCCCAGCCTTCACCATGGCAATGCAATTAATTTACTGGGCATCCAAATGAATTGGAAGAATAGAACGCTTGAAGTGGGGAGATCATGTTTCTCATTCATGCTTAGATGGACAACTTGACCACTTTGACCCCAACTGTTAGATGCACAAAATGACTCGTGGAAAAGATTTAGTAAAACATGGAGTCGTTGAAGTTTGACAACAGCAAATCCAAGAGCAAACCCGCTGGTAAAGGGAAGCTTACAGGCCACAGATTCCACAACCTTGACACGTCCATTCTAACAGCGTTGGAAGTGTCTGTCAAGAACTTGCAAGATTCAAAGACAAAGACCAGAGCATCCAAAATCTGTTCTTCTGCTTGGCGACAATGCAGGTGAGGTACAGCATGTGAGAGGTTGTTTTGATCTTGTCATGGGTCGTCCCGCTTGACACTTTGTCAGCAGAGCAGCAGAAGCTAACAGCTGTTGAGGTCTGCCAGCAAGAGGAGGCGATGCAAAGCACAAGGGCAGTCTCTTCGGCCAAACAGGGTCAGCGGACAACATGGGAAAACCTGGAACACTGCAAAATCACCTGGAAGGATGTATGGGGGGATGGAAGACGGTTGAATTAGCTTTGGCCCGTGGCTCAGGAGGTAAAGGGCGTTGTACGTTGTTTACAAGGTTGGCAGTTCAATCCCCTCCCCTCCACATGTAGAAGCTTCCCTGGCACTGAACCCCAAACTGCTCCCCGTAGCAGGTTGGCGCTTGGCTAGCTGCTATGCTCTGTTACTACGTGTATGTCAGTGTGTATGAATGGTTGTACAACGTAAAGTGGTTTGGAACCTAAAATACATTTTAAAAGGTGCTGGGAACACACTGTCATATTCACTCTGCAAAGAAATGGCAACTCTAAGCCACATGTTAACATGCTGCAACGCTAGCCTTTCCCAAAGCCGCTACACCCAGAGACACAATTACGTTCTCCAACTGTTTTCTGGAGCAAAGGAGAACTATTGACAAAGCCCCGTCTCCCCAAACAGTTGGCTTCTCTTACACCACCACCTTTGTACTAGCAGGAAAACTCACAACGCTTCCAACTACAAGGAGGCAATCAAGCCCCATTTTGTAAGAGATAACCACAACAGATCTGAGGCCACACAGCTAACGGCGACTTGGGACTTGGGATGCCACAGTGGGTGAAGCATTTCAATGGAAAACGCTAAAATATGCATCACTAGCAGAGCAGCAGGGCTGGTGAGCAGGAGTGCTACCAGTGGAGGTGGGTTGCGGAGGTTTTGTGGCGGGATCAGTCATAATGCGCCTGAAGGAGACGCGAGTTCGAGGGCGGACCTTATGGCAAGCAACCGAGTAATCATCGGAAGCCTCTGTCTGTCACAGTGAATGAGGAGACAGGATCTGATCTGGGCTGTAAGATGAGCCATAGGTAGGGATAAAAGCAGAGCGGTTGCACTTGGGATCAGGCCTCTAGGAGTGTTGTAGGCTTATTGGTGAAACAGCAGCGAATGAGGAAGCCCACCTGATGACCCCAACAAAGCAATTACGCCTACCAGCACTCAAGAAATCAAGGGAGTGCTGATTAATGTAAGGGATAGTTACAACAAATCCTCTGAGCTCAGCCTTGACTCTCCAGACCTCCCAGGAAAATATGCTTTTGGAATTTTAGCTGTAATAATTTCTCTCTAATCTACTTTTAATGAGGTGCCCTATGGCAGAGCACATAACCCCCACTAGTCTGCAGGGGACGTTTGGCACAAAGAAACTTTAAGCATGAATGTTTGTCACTGTGTGAGTGGCGTTGTGCGACTGTAGAAGTACAAATATGCTCTTTTGGATTTCCAAATGTAGATAAACCCACATTCAAAGAGAAAGGTAATGACAAACAGCAGTGCTAGCTTTATGTTGATATGTCAACATCTGAGATCATTACAGTGGTGGAGTTTAAAGAGTCAGATTTATTACATCTCATGTTGTTTAGAGGTCATGAGTATTAGCTATGGTTTTCCACACCACTGGTGCAAAGAGGATGGCAGTGGTTATGGGCACCATAGCCAAAACAGTCTAAAGAATACTTACAACAGCCATGGGAACTTCTCCCATAAGGAAAAAGATGTCAACTTTTCCATCTCTGAAAAGTTTGGCGCGAGATCCACGTTCCGTTGAGAGCAGCCAGACACATTTCCATGTTAGTTTTAAAAAGCGTCTCTGATCACCACAAATGTTCCTTCACTCCACCTTGAGGATTTACACCGATGCCAAAATCTGGGTCATTTGGAAAAAAGACTTCTTGCTTCTTTGTGTATGTTATTATATAAATTAAAAGTGCTTGTAAAGTGTTTTTCCAGAAGAAATACAAGGTGATGACAGCCGCAAACAGAACGCAAATATTAACTCTACGCTTCATGTGGTTTAGGGATAAGTTAACTTTGAAAATTATGGAAGATAGATGAGGAATTGAAATTTCTTCATCCTAAGTGTGTGTAAGGAGTCACAACACTCCACTAAAAAGCTAAATTTCTCATTTGGCCTCTGGCCTCTAGACAGAGTTGAAGCCGGTTGTAAAACAGCTCCAACTGTATCCTTTTTCAGAAGTCAGGGATCCTTTCTATAATTGCCCTCTCTTCAACAAGGGAACCCTTGTTTTCAATCTGCTTGCATGTGCAGGACTGCACTGCTTGTGTGTGTGTGTGTGTGTGTGTGTGTGTGTGATTTTTTGCAGCCCCTCATCAGTCTCATTCCACAGCACAGCTGCAGTGGCTGAAGTCACACAATTTGACTCAGGAAGGGGCTTAGCAGCTCATTAACAGATAGAACAAAGTAAGCTGTGAAACAGCAGCGACTACCACCACTGGCAGAGCTACAGAGCAAAGGCCATGTTGTCACTGTGTGGTAGTGCAGCGGTTTTATGATACACTGGAAGATGGCGTCATTTGCGTCAAGTCCTGTGGGGACACTGACACGAGAACATCACAACAGCTTAACTAGAAAGTCTTTCTTCTGCAGCATGACGCAAACATCTTGATCTTCAGTTTGCTGTGTTGGTAGTGTTATGAACCGTTAACACTTCCTGGTTTTAGCTTGTCAAATGTGAGAATTTGATGTTTTTACGTGTTTTATACAAATTGGAGTTTTGGATTTACACAAAACAAGACCTTTGAAGGCTTTTTCTTGGACTGTGAGAAATTGTTTAGGGGAAAAAAGTCATTATTCAAGGAAATAAACTACACATGAATACATAATGAAAACTATTCAACTAAGTTGAAGCCTGTATTTAACATACTTGATGTAAAGGTGGTTCCCAATTTTTTTCCCATCTAAGGCTTATTTCTATTTTGTCCCAGTTGGAGACAGAGATGAGAGATATTTTATGTTGTACAGATCAAAAATCCCCTAAGGTCTGCCACATTCACTTATATAGAGATATTTTCAGGGATCAAATTGGGATTTATGTGGAGTGGGACCCTTTGTCCAGTAGAGTCGGAGCCCACGTGAGATAGGGATCATTTCATCGATTAAAAGTAGTTTTAGTAAAAACTTCCACATTGTGATCTGCACGTTGTCATCGACATAATATTGCTGTGATGTACAGTAACGTAGTAGAACATGATTCATCAGAGAGAACAATATCTTGACTTTTGCTGACAAAGTGTGTTTTAGTCACTGGAGGTTATAATAAAGTTTGACTCTTGTCTATTTCTAGTCAGTGTACATCTGCCCTTTCTCTTAAAGCGTTTCGAGACACATAATGCTCTTCTGTTATCATTCCTATTATCGGTATGTATCTTCCTCACATTTCCTTCTTTCCTTTTCTCTGTTAGTTAAATATCTCTTCTTTCCTCACTACAGCTCATATTGTGACATTTTAATCTGGACATCCGTAAGCACTTGCCAAAACTAATATTTGGCTCAAGAGTGGAATTTAGGAAATAAAAATGCTTTCAGTTATTCATCAGATGCAGACTTGAGCCTGTGGCCCTATTAATCACACAACCTCTTTTGTGCTGTTTCTTTGCAGAGATTGGACCCGTAACAATCACAACAGACCCAAAGAAGTTCCAGTACGAGCTGAGAGAGCTGTACGTTCAGGTGGGTTCAGAGATCACATTCATCACACTGAGGAAACAGCAGCAGTAGCCTCGATCCTCAGGTCATCTGGCCTTGATAAAGGCAGCAGACTGTGGTCATGCCAGACGTCTGGGCAGGAGCATTTGTGAGCTGATTAAGAAGTTTAGCCGGTCATTCTACACTGAATGATAAAAAAAAAAAAGAAAGAAAAAGTCTTAAGGGAAAATGTGTTTTTCTTCACTTTTACAGGAAAATGTTTCTATTTTGAGTTGAGTTTCATCTAATAACCAGAGAGTCTATTATTACAGACTTTGGTTATGCGTTGGCTTTCATGCAAAAAAAAAAAAACTAATCCCCCTTTTTCTCCTTCCTGCACTATTACAAACAAATGTATAAACAAAAACATACATTGGCCGGACAGCTGAACAGAGAGCTGCCAGCTCCGAATTCTTCAGTAATTACTTGGAAGCTGTGCAGGATTTTTTTCTGGTGTATGATTTGTTCAAATTGCAAACCTACATACGTTTAAATATAAGGATGAAAGCAAGACCTGCAAAGACAAGGACAAGTACCATTCAGAGGCCGTTGGACAGCAGACTTTGGCGAGTGTCTGTGCATCCTTGGCATGTCCTATTGTTAATCTGGTGTGCGAGCGTGTTGTGTGTAACGTGGAAGAGATCCAGTTTCCTCTCACTTGCTGCTTCATTCCTGAGTGTATTTTTCCTCCCCTCACCTCTTCACCTGCACAACTGGTGGAGAGGTTTTGGCCCAAGAGCATGGAAAATATGCTCCTTGGAATTGACATTTTTCTTGAAATTGAAAATTTTCTGTCATGAATGCAGTTGTGCTTCAGACAGAAGGGAGAAGGAGTTAGGCAACACTTCATATTTTTAAGCCTTAAGAACAAAAGTGCACACAGAGGTTATCGGGCTTAGTGTCGTGGGCAACGGAGGGATCACGGGGGAGTGGATGGAGATGTTGGGGTTCATGTGTCTTCACCTCCCACCCCACCCCCGACCTGAAATCAGGGGTCACCCCATTCCAGATGTTCCTCTTGGGGGAGATGCATCTAAGCTAACTACTGAATCCTTCCGACAGACAGAAATGTGTCTTTTGGAATGCTGCTGAGAGTATTTGTCTTTGTTGGACAAGACAGAGACAGGGGAGGTAGCGGACAAGAAAACTGAACTTTCACAAAAACCTTCATGCATCTTTGTCACTTGTTCTTTTCGGTATTGTCGTAGAATTATTCTGCTGTTTTGTTGGCTGGATATCTTGTGAGCTACAAGTTCATTGTCACTGTTGAAAGTCTTGAGATGCATTTCCACTGCTAGCTGTTAAATCTTTTTCTAGACATAATGATGGTGCTGTGAATGTGTTTCTTTCTCCACATCAAGAAGTAGAACTGGTACTAAAGTCTTAGCAAATGCAATTTTGTCAAAAAACTAAACTGGAAAAAAAATATTATACACATTAGACACCGATCAGCCACAACCAACCACCTGCCTGATGTTGTGGAGGTCCCTCTCGTGTCACCACAACAGCTCTGACCCGTCAGACCATGGACATGGGATCTCTGGGGGCGTCCCATGACGTCTGGCACTGGAAAATTGGCAGCGGGTCTTTTGGATCCTGTAAGTTGCAGGGCGTTGCTGCTGTGGATCAGACTTGTTCTGGTGCATCCCGTGGATGCTCAGTTGGACTGGGGTCTGGGAAATTTGAAGGCCCATCGACGCCTTGGGCTCTCTGCCGTATTCCTTGAGTTGTTGTGGCGGAGTGCATTCTGTCATTCAGACAAAGGTCACTTTTCCATTTTTCATGGCTTGTGTCAGACATACCACCCACAGTGCTGGAGAGAGCTACAGTACACACACACACACCATATTTGTTTATTTACATAAGATTAGACTAAACCCAGGTCATGTATAATACATAATAATGCATTAGCAACACAGAGAATACATCTAAACTAATAGCAGCTTATCAAAGTGTCCAAACACTGAAAACTCTGTTCATATGTGATGGTAATCTCTCTACTTTACCAGCAGTGACAGAACAGCGTGACCTGCTGTTGGAGCCTGTCGCCATGTCGAGGATATGTTATGACTGATTGTTAAAGTTACTGCTTTTACTTGATATGTAAATGTGCACAACTGTCTTTGTTTAGAGACACGACAGGTATTTAACAAACTCAGACTTCTGAAAGCAGCTGGTAGCAACAAACTAAGCTGTGACTCTGTGTGGGACAGCTCACCTGTACAAAGTGTGATTTCCTGTTAGATCCTGACCCAGACTGATCCTGTCTCCAGCTGGACTAACGAGTAGTTTAATGAAGCTAGAAGCGCTGTTCTTCCTGATGGGCAAACTTGTGCAGCTTTCCCTCTCTGGAGCTGCTCACGTGGATTAAATAAACTAAGAGGACAGACTCTGGATGTTCTGGACAAATATTGGTGATGAAATGTGGAAAGATCTTTACCTTCGTCACGTCACACAACTTGAAGTACCTTTATTTGTGGGTTCTTATCTGTTAATGTGAATAGCTGCAGTTCTGTTGAAAGTGGTGTGAAAATGCTGCTCGGTCTGACCTAAGACTGCCGTTGTAACGTTAATGAAATGGCGACCAGAGTGCGATTGCTGTCAGATTAAAAGAGAGGAGTGTGGATAGGAGTCACATGAGACTATGCAGGTGTACCTAATGAAGGCCACGTTTTCCTGTAGATAGCATAATGTTGAACCAGATACCTGTGTTGGGGACTCACATATGCTTGTCTACATGAACATCAACGTGAACCCTGTATTCTGATGACACTCTTGTTCCTTTCAGGGAGGTGGGGACTGTCCAGAGATGAGCATTGGTGCCATTAAGATTGCCTTGGAGATCTCCTTGCCGGGATCCTTTATTTACGTCTTCACAGATGCCCGGTCTAAAGATTACAAGCTGACCCATGAAGTTCTGCAGCTCATTCAACAGAAACAGTCACAGGTTTGGAGGACGCTTTCTGTAATCCACGTTATTGCAGGTTCAGAATCAAGGACAACACGTCTTCATCTCCGTGTGTGCATGTATGTAGGTGGTGTTTGTGCTGACGGGGGACTGTGATGATAGAACTCACATCGGCTACAAGGCGTACGAGGAGATTGCCTCCACGAGCTCTGGGCAGGTATTCCATCTAGACAAGAAGCAGGTCAACGAGGTAAGAGCGTCATGGAACAGAAACCTGAGACAGCACTTCTGTTCTCTTTGCTTCTTTTCAAGCACAAGTTTTCAGGTTTACTGAATCAGAAGCAGAACGCTTCTGGTTTGGAGGTGCATGTCTTGGTCACAGTGATCAAATCATTTGAACTTGGCCTGGATTTCCCTCCTAAGCTGTGTAAATAAAATCACAGCAGAAAGTTTTACAGCCTCTCGTTTCTTTTGCTGTGCCCACATTCATGTCTGGACTCCAGATCAAATGCGCAGGAAGCATTTAATTGATTGATGCATGCCGTTGCTCTTTTTAACCTTTCCAAGAAATGTAAATCAACAATTTTGGACTGGGCAACGAGTCAAAACCAGAAGCTGTTTTATGAATGTAAGATAAGATTCGTTGCAAGGAAGAGACGACATCTAGATTTTAAACATCTTTCTATTAAGGCTCTTTTCAGTAATACAGTGATCTCTTGGCTGATGAGCAGCATATTTTACTAAAACATTTTGAAGATTAAATGCAGTAACACTCCTTTTACCGTCTGCCAACAGGGCAGGTTAGGATATAAACAGGAAAGTAAATGAGAAAAGTAGTTTTTATAACTAGTTTTGAGGAATGCTAGAAATTTATAAAGACGTGTAAATGTGCAAAAATAAAGAATTTGAAGACATCTGAGTGAAATCCTTTACTTTTTGCCCTCCATCCAGCATTTTCACGGGACTTCTTGAGACGAATGTGCTGCACCACGTTGCTCTCTTGTTACAAATTCCCATTCCCTCATGTATTCTGGGTCAAACAGCATCTGGGCCTCACACAGTAGCAGTTGGGTTCTCCGCAGGGACGGGGAGGAAATAAGGGGGCAGGTCACAGGGGGAATGTTGGAAACTTCCTGATGAAAGCTTTCACATGTTGAAGATATGACCTTGCATGCAGCTGGGGGGGGATACATGTGTGTGTTTGTGTGTATATACAAGAACTTCGTTAACTGTTTATTGTCAGATGTTTTCATTGAGATAGAGCTTCTGCACCATTATAGAAGTTCATTTCACAGAACATAAATTCTGTCTGATTCTTCTTTACTGTAGGTTCTTAAATGGGTAGAGGAGGCGGTGCAGTCTTCAAAGGTCCACCTGCTGTCCACCGATCATTTCAGCGGGGTCAGCAACACCTGGCAGATACCCTTCGATCCCAGCCTCAAGGAAGTCACCGTGGCCCTGAGCGGCCCAGCGCCCAACATCGAGATAAAGAACCCCCAGGGTATGATAAACGCTACCGTACATCAGTAGAACTGCAATGACGCTCAGTCTGTGGGACAGAACTGACATCCATCAGCTGTCACGTTCATTTTACTTGTTTGATTGTCTGTTAACTCAGAAAATTAGACCCTCAGGACAAACATAAATAACAGAAAGGTTTTTTTCTGGGTCTGTTTTGTAAATAACTGGACAAATGCTGCATCAAGAAGCTTCCAGCAGAGCAGCCATAGAGTTTAAAAGCAGATACATCCTGGACAATCTACACCGGCCTGGTAGGTTCAGAAACTAGGACACCAGTAATCGCAGCAATTGAAGTACAGTACACAAGACAGGGTGAAGTGAAGCGACTACATCCAAACACTGCATTTTTCTCTCTATCGTGGATTCCAACAACATCTGGGATCCATACCTTTGAGCACATGCTCTTTCACTTTACAGTATTTTGGCGAATGTTTAAACCACATCTTGAATCTTTATATTTTCCTCCTTTAAAGTAAATATTTTATCAGTAACTTGCAGCCATGCAACGAGAAGCGTAAGAATCCATTTGTATCAGTCAAAACTGCAGAAAGGGTAAATAATTGTCTCAGTATCCATGTTTGCTCTCCAGGGAAGCTGGTGGGGAAGAGTGACGGCCTGACTGAGCTCTTGCACATTCCCAACTCCGCCAAAGTTGTCAACATCAAGGACCCACAGCCTGGGATGTGGTCTATCAAGGTAAACAATTCACTCTTTACCTGGAAACGTGTGTGAAATTACAGGCTTCGAACAATTCCCAGAGCTGGGCTGTCTTTTGAAAAGACTTACTGCAAAATAGTTCAGTAGTGTAACCTTGGAATGAGGTCACAGCTCACACCCCAGGAGGCCGCCGTGCCCTTGAGCAAGGTTCTTAAGCTGAATTACTGCAGTAATATATCAGCATGTTGGGATACAATGATATGTCATCAATTTAGCATGCGTGTTGTCTGGTGAAAGCATATCCCGCTGAACAACAACGTGACTCGAAAGACACGTTTGAGACGATGTTTAGGACGACCCTGGTAATCATGTCCAAGGCTCCTGCTGTCAACTCAACCTGCTACATTCCTGAGAAACTGGTGGCACCCTGCGGTCAACGCAATGCAACAAAGGTCACACGTGTGGCCGCCCGCAGTGTCGGAGGCAGATGTTGGGAAATGACAAGCATTTTTACCTGAGTGATTTGCTGATGGGGCTTCGATGGCCCCTGTATTCTCTGAAGACCCCTGATGGGACACTGTCCCTCATGTCTGCGTAGCTGTGTTAAGGTTTAGCACCCGGTTGATTTACAGTGAAAAGGAAAGGATGAAAAAACTGCATCATCTCAACTTGTCCTCGCAAAGCAAAGTTTTTCTATGAGCAGATAAGAATGCATGTTGGGGCTGAAATGTTTGCAGTTGGTTGTGGCACTGCTGTGTTTGGGGCCTTTATATTACATTGTTTTAATTCATATTACATGGTCTTTTCCATCCATGCTTTTGATTTTTGTTACTTGCTAATCCATGCAATTTTCTCCATTATTACCTTAGTGCAGCTCTTCCAGTCGACACTAACAACATTATGAGCACGAGGGGAAGCATTCAGCAGTAATATGCAGGTGTTTATGTGTCCAAATAAGATTTTTTATTAACATCGATGTGGAACCAGTAATACATTTCAGTTTTTGGACCGACTTTAATCCAAACTACAAGATAAAACGAGGCTTTTCCAGCTGTGTCTACACTTAACCTTGGGGTTAGTTGCATTCTGGGGTCCGTCACAATGCAAAGAGCTCTTTCTCTTTTCACACAGAAAAACTGGCAAAAGCTGCAGAAACATTAGTCATCTTTTTTTCCTCCTGTGTGAGAGAGAGACTAGAAAACCCTCCTTAATATGCAGCTTTACCTTTGGCAGACCTTTTTCAGCTTTTGATTGATTCTTTACATTAGCTTTTCTTTTTTTTGGCTACATCACACTTTTTGCTCTATCGGGGTGCCGGTAAGTGAACCTCTGGGATTTGAAGATGCTCTGTGGTGAATAATCTGTGGTGTTCTGTTAAATATCTGACTAAATGCCGTATTAAAAAGCTTTGATCGACGACTGTGTTGTCGGACATCAGCCAATATGGTGACCTGTTCCATAGTGATGGATGACAATAAACAGACACGCAAAAGGAGAGACAAATCGCATCCTCCTGTCTCATTTTTTCATGTGGTTGGATCTGTCTTTGCTCCCTCGCAGTCTGTCTTCCTTAATCCCTCTCTGTCACTTGCTGTGTCTTATTTTCTCCTTCCTCATGCATCTTCTTCGCAACACATTTGGTCTTTTAGATCTGTCCCTCGGAGATGCTCGGGAGGATCCGCGGCTTTCTACGTTGTCCCAGAGCATCTTGTTTTTCCTCTTGAACGCTGCCTTTTCCAGCCTCAGGTCCCCCAAAACGTTCTATCTTGCTTAAAGACTTGCTATCTCCTTCTCATCTGCAGCCGTGTTTCCCAGGGCATCCAAAGAAATGTGGATAAATACTTGAGGGGGATTTGGCTGTTCTGCCATGCTGGGTTTCAGTAACACTAATGGCCCGTGACATCCCAGTGTAAGGACTCGGGCATAGATTGTGTGTGAAAAGGAATTTTATCCCTTTTAATCTGCCTTTAATTGGATATTGTAGTGATGTGTAGAAGGCAGTTTCACCTCATTATCACTCCCTGCTTCCTCAGCGTTGCCCGTTGCTCTCACAGTGTTATCTTTATTTTGTGGTAATTTCGTTCTCTGTCAGGTATCATTTATGAACAAATACTGTATTAGCAGTTAGAAGGAATACTGTCTCTTTTATTTTGCACTACGAGGCCATAATACCTGCGGTGTGCTGACAGATGGCAGTCAAACCGTGATCCTGCTGCAAGTTTCAAACTTGAAAACATTCTAAACCGTAAGCTAAAATACTTTTATTATTCTGTTATGTAGCTCGAGATGCCACTGAAGCATCCCACCTCACCTGGCATACAGTTTTTTTTTATTATCATCTGTTAACAGTCTTGTTAAATGAGTCTTTCACATTAAAACCCTGTCATTCTTCTTTGCATGTTACCATCGCTCGATGCAAATCTTTTCTTAATTTCTTACTGTGAGCAACTGTAGAAGTGAAAGTGATTTCCTATACAACCTTACCATACTGTGTGTTTGTTTAAATATGTACTACTACTACTACTGAGAGTATTATGTGCTGCACAGACCTCAGCACTGACGGTTGCATCGAAGCTTCGTACTGAATTTTTTAGCCCATGATAATAGTTTAGAAAGGCTGTAATTTTAAAAGCTCAAAAGCAGAGCAGTGGTGGTCACCTTCCCTTGTCTTCTTCTTCTTTGTTTGCATTTTGCTCTTTAAGTGTTTGCCGTCTTTCTTTTCTTTCTGAAATAATGGGGGAGACGAAACAGGACGTGTTTTAAGCAACTCAAAGCAACTATTTTGCCAAAAAAAACTGAGAAAAGTTGTGCTGAGGGGATGTAATTAAATCCATTCTAGCCTGACTCACCGGATGTAGACGTCGGGTATCAGTCTGCCACTTCCATTTCATCTGACTTTCTCCTCCACTTCTGCCATCTGCGTTCAAAATACAACCAGACAGCAACCTGCACGCTGAAACTAGCAAGCTCCACTGAAGATTTAGAAAAAGCAATAAGCCAGGCCTGCTTTTGATGATTTAGCGTTTTTTTAATGACTGTGCTGCCTCCATGCATGAAAAAAATCCACAAAACGATTCCTGCATTGTTGTTTTAAGGGTGCGTTGTTCCTGCATCTTGGCTTAAGCATCACCCAACACAGCTGCGATTGGTTTAAAGACGTAAAAACAACCTGGAGCATTTTCCCTGATAGCAGAATAATAGTGCGGTGTAGCCAGACCGTTCTACAGGGCCGTGCTGATACGTCTGCACGTCTTATCTCGTTGTGTTGCAGAAGAACTGTGAACTCACATGATTCTAAATTCAATCTCATAAGATGTTTCCACTAAAAAAAATGATGGGATGGGGCTTCTTAGCCTTGTTTTTGAGTACAATCTGTTGTGAAGTGTAATGTTTTCTATTTTGAAATTGTGTATTAAGCAATTAAATGCTTGTGACACTGAATGTAGAGTGTAGCTGGACATGATTCACACTGATCCTGTCACGGGGGGCAGCTGTGGCTCCGAGGGTAGACTGATTCGTCCCTAATCACAGAGTGGATGGTTTGGGTCCCATCCTGTGCAAGAATGTGGCTCCAGCTATTTAACTTTCATTAACATTATCGTCCTTGTGATGTCAGCTGCTGTACTGAGTGTATTAATGTTAGACCAGGTGCAGAATGTGTTGTATTTTCTCCAGCACATGATTTCTAGTTTAATGATAAGAGATGTGATGTTTGTGTTGTGATCAGGCCTCAGAATTCAGGGATTACATTTCAGGTTTGTTGTTATTTGTGTGTTTGGTGGTTCACATGTTGGTCGTTTTTTTCATTTGTCTTTATAACTTTGTCCCTAATGGTACTAGAGAGATAAAATCTTACTTAGACTGATGCAGCTGTTTGCAGGCATTATTATTATTCTTTCTGTCGCTAAGCTCAAATGTATTGAAGCTGTCCTGACCTGACTGTGCCTGAAAGTAATACTAATTCAGTATAAGAAACAATCTGCTGACCTGATTCATCTCAGTGATGGTGTACCCAAGGCCTGGGCAGGTCAGTGTGTCTGGGTGGGTGTGAAATTGGGAAATGAGTGTCTTTAATGACAGGGGCTCTTCTTGTCTTGTAAGAGCGTGACCTTTAAAGAACCTCTCTCCTAATTATGGCCTCATTTACAACCAGCTGAAGGCCCTGGATAATTCTACAGCAGCCATTAGGCCACGTTTGATGGCCGTGACATGTATTGTGTTTCATGATGGCAGGCATTAGCATTTAAGGCTGTGCCGAATCCCCTTTGTCACGGTGCTGCTTCATTGTTTGAGCCATTTCCCCTCCAGCTTAGCAGTTGTTTGCCGTTCGCCTGTGTGCACTGCACTGTGCTGTTTTGTACTTTTCTCTTCAGAGGGATTCCAAGTTTATGTCGGGTCGAACTTAGTCACCGTAGAATCCACACATTCTCTTTCATTTCAGGCAATTGCAAATGACAGTTTAGGTTTGCGTGCCTTGCTCTGCAACGTGAGTCAGTGTCTATGTAACCACCAAGGTGTTTTACCTAAGGTGAGGAGTTTCCACCTCTCACCAGCACACACTTCATAGTAATTACTCCGTCTCTATTGCTGCAAAGCTTCAAAAGACCGTAACATGATGAAGACCACATGAGCCATTACCCACGCTCTGATTATAGTAGTTGTGTTTGTTTAATTTTAGAATGAATGTCAGAGCGAATGGGTCATCTGTGAACCGTGGATGTTTTATAAGCTCAGGTGTAACATGTTCGACAGTCAGTAGTGACTTACTCAGAGTGGCATGTCTGAACATGTGGGGATTGTTGGCATACAAAAGGCTCTCAGACAACAATCCTAAAGCTGTGTCTGTCATTTAGACCACTCAGCGCTGCCTTTGATGCCACAACCGCTCTTTGTTTTGTTTTCTCAGTTCCATAAAACTTATCACCATCAAGCATCACGCCAGGGTTTAGGACAACCTGGACCAAAAACACTTTTTTTTTTGCTACTAGGAGTAATTTTTTTCTTTCACTGCTGTTCTCTTAACAGACCTCTAGTGAAGGAAGACACTCAGTCCGTATCTCAGGACTCAGCACCATTGACTTCCGAGCTGGGTTTTCCAGGAAACCCACCCTGGACTTCAAACAGACGTCCAGCAGGCCAGTCCAGGGTCAGTGAGTTCAACCTTTCCAACCTGTAAAATGGACACTGGAGTTGTTTTGTTTTGTTTCACCTGCCATCATATGAACTTTCCAGGTATCCCCACACACATCCTCCTGAACACCACTGGACTTTCTCCTCCTGCTCGGCCTGACAGGCTCGAGCTCCTCTCAATCACCGGCGAAGTGGTCAAAACGTTGCCGATCCGGTACTACCCTGAGCGCCTGCCGTACAGCCTCTGGAACATCACTGAGTTCGTTCCGCCCAACGAGGCCTTCTTCCTGCGGGTTACAGGATATGACCGCGATGGCTTCCTGTTCCAGAGAGTCTCCAGTGTTTCCTTCTCCAGCATTATACCCAGTGAGCGCTCCAGATTGTCCCTATAGTCAGATGAATTTTCAGGTTTCTTCATAATTTGCGCATTAAACTGATTAACTTGCTTTACATCGTTCCTCTATCAGGTGCTCCTACGGTGCTGATGCCGCCCACAACTCATGGTTACTACCTCCAGAGAGGGGCAGTGAAATGCCAGGTAGAGAGCTTGATCCCCTTCACGCTGCGCTTCAGCAGGGATGGAAGGCGACTTGGGGTGGACCAGCTTTTCAGGTGAGGGGGATGGTGGAGGACTGGACTCATAGGGTCAAGCAGGACTTAAGAACTGTCTAAATATGCTAACTCCAGAGCATCTACTTTAACCATGCATTCATGTTAGACGTGGCCTGGTAGTAATTAGTTTGAAGATGGGTTGGGCAGTTGTTTTTTTTGTTTTTTTTTGACATTATCTATACTAACCTTTCAGGATATTGTCATTAAAGTGATCTGAGAGGAAACTAGACTTACGTACCTCATGTTCGGTCACATACTTTTGCATTTGACGTATTTGCTTGTCTGGTTGGAGGGCTTAGAACAAAGAGGGGCAGGAGGAACTTCATGAGTAGGGCTGTGTGTTTTGTATTTGGGGCATATTTTTTGCCTTTTTTTTTTTGCCTACTACAGAGTTAATGTCAGAATCAACCCATTTTTATGACTGTATCTGACATAACATATACCTTAAAGACCTAACCACCTTTTACAAAAAGTTCTAGCAGCATGTGCTCTTCAGGTTTTGGAAGGAAACATTTATATATAACGGGATCCAGCTTCCTTCCACAGTTAGTAGCTTTTGGTTAATTCGTGATTCTTAACTGGCCTTAAATATGAATGTGGGTGTGAATGATTGTCTGTCTGTTCATGTTTGCCCTCACTGGTGTAATATATAGGGTTTATCCTGTCTGTTAGCTTGGCTAGCCTCCAGCCCCCTTGTGACCCTCTATAGGATTAAGCCTTTGTAGCTAATGGATGGATGATAGTCTGATCAGTCCTTACATGCTGAGAAACTGGACCAGTTAACCCTTTTTTTTAAACCTCTTGAGAGATACACTGATTGCTTACAACATTAATACCACCTGATATTGTGGAGGTCCCGCTCATGCCACCAAAACCGCTCCGACCCATCAAGGACACAGGACAAACATACCAAATGGTTTCAAGTCACTTGTGATTCTTTTGATTCTAGTGAGTCTGACAATGCATCATGGGAAATACCAGAGGTGACCCTGAAGGACGAGGGCTACTACGAGTGCATCGCCATCAACAGCGCTGGGACAGGACGAGCTCGCACCTTTTTAGATGTATCAGGTAAGCAGGCATCCTAACACAGTGTGATACAGGCGGCGGTTCAGACGGTTATCAGATACAAAAGTTCCTCAAACTTAAATGGTTTAGTGCTAATATGCTGTGATCTACAACATCATTAAACACATTATAGTAATTTAAGTATTTTTCAGACTATAAGACAGGCTTTTACTTCTTGGCATTGCGCTACAACATGGCAGCAAGAGTTGCTGTGCAGACAGCAGTGTTGACTTTAGTCGAGTACTGGAGTTTATGTTAATTAACAGTTCATGGAAAGCTACCCTCCATCAGTGCATGTAATGAGCCAAGACTGTTCGACAGGAATGCTGAAGGACTGGCAAACATTAAACTGTCAACAAGTGTAAGTGATGCGTGATGGATGGACTGGCAGGGCAGCGAGCAATTTACAGCATCCCTGCGTTTAATGTTCTGGATCATGTTTAGAAAATAACACTCAGTAGACACACACATATAAAGAGTCAAAATACCACGAGTGAAATGATGCAGCGTGATGACGTTTATGTCATGCTCAGTAGGTTCACACACACACTGCTTATGGACATATGGTTGGTATCTAAGTGGCAGTCGATGTGGGTTGAGTTTTATAGGCTTTGACGTCTCTCGCTGTCGATCCCATGCAGAGACACTGCACACCGGCAGAATTAATATCGCATTTCCCAGCTTACGACACGATGTTGTAATCCATGCATCACAGCAAACAGGACATGGGGTCTACGTTTTCTTTGCCTGAGTTGCAAAGAAGTGGACTGTAGATATGGTGTAAGATGAGAATACATGTAAAGCTGTAAATAAGTTCCAGGCTTCGCACAAAGGAAAAAAACAGCATGGTGATGTTCTGGTGGGGCTTAAACGCAATTTCTTTCAACATAATAATACATAACAATTATCAACAATCATACACAAATTCATAATTCAGGAAATAGATTCATTGGTTGGTCACGATGTCAAAGCATTGAGTAAAGATAGATTTAGAGGACTCATACAAAGAGTTAGACCTTCAGCCTAGCAGTGAGCAAAACAAAAATGTAATTTTGCCCACACCTTTTCAATTACATGCCACCAGAAATTACACCAAATGAATCTAAATGCCGTCCTTCTTTTTGTCCGGTCTTTGCCTTCCAAAAAACTCTCTGCTTCATTCAATTCTCTGGAGCTTTGTGCACATGATGAATGCCAAGCAGAAGGGAACAAGGTGGAGAACGGAGAAAACGAGTGTGAGAGGTAGTTGAAAGACACTTTGTGAAACAGAAGAAGGAAACAGGGGGCCAGGCAGGGATCTGTATAATATATGAGCGTAACTCATTACTGTAAGTCGCCTGCTGTGTTTATAGTCCAAAGGTGCAGAGGTGACTTAGTTTGTCCAACTGTTACCGCTTATGATGTCTCTAAAATAAGGTGAAATTAATCCTGCTCCACCACAAGTTCAACCTCTGTTAGTGGGCCAGTTATAGCCTTAACAGTCTGACTGGCCCCTGCATTTTACACACACAGAAACACACACATAATACCTATTCAGCTGCCAAATTTATGTCATCCTAATCCCAAGGAGCTATGCTGAAATCCCCAGCATCCTCCCTTTATCAGAGCCAAAGCCCCCGCCACCTCCTTTCTCCCTCGCCTTGCCTTTCTTTTCCATTTTCCCTCCATTCCTCTTTTCCCCGCTTAGCTCTGGTTCAAGTCCGAAAAAAATGATTAACAGCACACCGAGTCTCAGGAGACGAGTGTTTTTGACAAGGTGACGAGAGAAAAGGCAGAAATAGAGGAAGAGAGAGAGACACGAGAGAGGAAAATGAAATATCCACAGCTGTGACGAATGATGAACATCGTTTTAATAGTCTCGATAATTAAATGGCTCCTGCGCAGAGCTAACCTGAGCTATGTAGAATACCTTGTTATGAAGCTCATGCATACCACAGACACCAGCAGTGAACGATGAGGGTTAGAACTGCTGGATTTGATGAGGATGTGGCTGATTTCTAGCACTGGTCCCATAGATAAGAGGTTCCAGGCTGACTGTCATGATACGTGTCAGGAGGGAATTTTAATGTCTCTTTAGCTAAAACTGTTCTCAGATATTGGAAATGTAATATTGCTGCATCGTCAGTCTGTTAAAGTGACAGCATTCTGTTATTCAAACGTAGGACACTTTTACAATGTTGTTCCTTGCAGCTTCATTCAGACAAACCGAGCACAGTGACAAAGAGCCATCGTATGCCAACGATATGCACATGTGAGACTGGACAGTGATGTGTAATACATCATAATGCAGAGTTAAACAGGAGACAACATCTAAACTAATAAACTAATCACAAGCTCAACAAACTGTCCAAATAACTGCCTGCTTTATTAATGATTTCCTAAAAACTCTGTCCATGTGTGATGATAATCAAACTGTTACTTTACATATAGTAAAATAAAACGATCCTGATTTAACTGCGTGCTGCTCGGTGGGTAGCACTGTTGCCTCGCAGCTAGAAGGTTCACGTCCCGGTGAGGACACGTGGGATCTGTCTGCGTGGAGTCTCCATGTTCTCCCCGTGCAGCGTGGGTTCTCTCCGGGTTCTCTCCGGGTTCTCCGGCTTCCTCCCACAGTCCAGAAACATGCTGAGGTTAATTGGTGATTGTAAATTGTCTGTAGGTGTGAATGTGAGTGTGCTTGGTTGTCTGTCTCTAAGTGTAGCCCTGTGATAGACTGGTTACCTGTCCAGGTGAACCTGCCTTCACCCTGAGTCAGCTGGGATAGGCTCCAGCCCCCCACGACCCTGGTGAGGATTAAGGTGTAGAGATGATGGATGGATGGATGATTTAACTGCAGCTTATAAACTGTGACTGTGTGTGACCTGTCTGGACAGTACACAGTACGAGACCTGCTGTTAGATCCTGATCGGTCCTGTCTCCATGTCCGGGATCATTTCTATCAATAGTAGTTACTTCTCTTGCTCCACATGTGTTAATATGCAAAGCTCTCTGTCATGGATCGTGCTGCAGGTATTTAATAGACTCCTACAAAAAGCTCAAAGCTACAAGCTAAACTTTAACGTCTGCTAACGTTTTGATGGATTACATGAATGACTGAAGAGTCTCATTAATCTGATCTGTCACAGACTCTGTCTTCGTCGCAGTAAATTTTGTTGTTGTGGACATTTTAGTTTGTAATAAATGTGAAATTGTCGGGCAAAGTGAATGAAAAAGGTGTTTCGTGGTTTTGGCACACAAACTGTGTCTTTAGTGCTCGCTGGGATGTTTTTGGAGCAATATTGGTGCTGAAATGTGGAAAACTCCTTCCTTCAATCGCCTCCCACGACGCCTGTCCGTTAATACCTGTGTGTTTAGAGTTGAGCCGTGTTGAAAGTGGAAACGCCACCAGGTTCAGTCTATTAGGAGAGAGACCATCACTCAGACCTGAAGCTGACATGTCGTCCAGATTAATGGAAATCAGTGCTCGTCTAAAAGTGGCTTTAAACTGTAAACCCAACATCTTTAATCGTGACTCTTTAAACAGTTCTGTGTCTTCTCCCAACCTGGTGTCAACTTTCTTTTGCCGTTGAGCTGCTAACACTGCAGTGGGATCTAGGAAAAGGAGCAACTTCAGTTCTAGTTTGGATAGTTTATGCAGCATTATTTTTGCTTTTAAATAATCTCACAGCTCTTTAGTTTTATCTTGGAACTCTTTGACGGGCCTCAAGCACCCGGTCTCCATGCTGTTTCAGGACTTCCTAACATTGGCACAAGGAAAAACTCAGTGTTTGTGTTTGAAACTGGGCAGACAAATTGAGGTTATAAAAAAAAACTTAACTGTAAAAACCTGCATGGTTCGCAGCGTTACTGCATGTCTCTGCTTACAGAAGTGTCAGCGAGAAACTAACCACCTGCTCTGTATTTGTGTTTATTTAAATTTTTTTATAAGATGTTAACTTTCTTCCAACAACATTCGTCTGCTGTCGCTCTGCAGAGCCGCCTCCGGCCGTCACCGTCGAGGGCAACGTAACTGTTTCCCCCGGCTCCCCTGCCGTCCTCACCTGCCACGTCGTCAGCACCGTCAACTTCAACCTCACCTGGCTGAGGGGAGGCCACGACGCCCGCCTGGACCCGCGGGTCAACATCCTGGCCGACCTCTCGCTGCAGGTGTCCGCCGTGACCCCCGATCACGCAGGCTGGTACGAGTGCATCGCCATAAATGAAGGAGGGGTGACTGCAGAGCGAATCTACCTCACTGTGCAAGGTGAGGAGCATCTTTGTGTGTTTGAAACGAGTCTGCAGCGAGCTCTGATGAGTGTGAGATGGGACCCTTTAAAAAGCTGTTGGGTTTCCAGGAGCAGGAGCTACGAGGCTGCTGTATTTGTTGACTGGTTGTGTCGGTGTGTGCTACATAAGCTCACATGCATGTGTTTGACTCTGTGTACCTGTTTCTTCTGTGTGATTTACACTGTGGGGGAACAAGAGTCTTGGCAAACACAGCAGCCTTCCCAAATATATGATTGCCTCCCCAGTGCCCCTGCCCCTCTTTCCTCCCCTTGCTCCCTATAATTCAACCCTAATGCTTTATGAGACGTGTGAAAATTATTTATGCTCGACTCTCAGGCAGCACTGAGTTCTTTCCATCTCCGGACAGCTCTTGCGGCCGTGTGTCTAACACTTCACCGACACTGAATCAGGAACACTTTGTTGTACAGATGAAAGAGTATCGCTGGTTATCTGGCACGCAGCATCGACCAGCGCTTGGCCAGGAAAGAACGATGTATTACAGCTGCTCAAATCCACCATTAACAGACGGTTTCAGCCAGAACCAGTTGAGGGGAGTTCAGGAGGTATAAAGCAGCAAAGAACTTTGTTTTACATAATCCAATCTGTCCAAACGAACATCCTGTAGAAGCTATATAACCGTCAGTCCCAGAAGCAGCTAACTGTTTATCCATATGCTGTTTTCTGTAGCCTGAACTCCTCCCTGCGTGCGTCTTTCCGGGTCTTATGGTTGAAATGAAAACAAAACTGTTATTCTTCTTTGTTTAAACAATAAATTAGCTGGTCTACTTTAACACCTGAGCAGACTTTTTTCTTGACCTAAATTGGAGTAATTGAAGAGTTCCCTGTGATCTTACCTCGGAGTGAACTGTTATAAGCCTCAGCGACACAAGCGGAGAAGTTGAAGGCTTAATACCAGGGCTGGAGACAGCTTGTAATGGAACTCTGTCATTTGGCTCGTGTCACTGAGTGATAAGCTGCACAGTTGACCTTAAAACATACTTCTCTGCTTTACCTGGAAAGTGTTCTCTTTTTT